AAAAGAAATGATCAATGTAATTTAAATATATGTATACTGTTTCATGCTGCCGATACAAAGGTGAATAACATATATTATTATTATTATTATTATTATATATTATACTATGTACCGGCGACATACCGCACTGTTCGGTGATCGGCAAGCACATGGAAGACAAATTGTGGACCAAACAAATAACACATGGTTTACGGTGATTAGACACATCACACCACTGGCTAGAAAAAAATAAATAGTGTAACACGCACGTTGGTTTTGACTGCCTATTTACGGTGTAACGTTATCGCCATCTTGGAGTTTTAAGGCTTCGTCCCGACACGGTTTGCGACGACTATGCTCATTAGCATTGGCGGCAGCTTCAAAGCGAGTGGAACGCGAAGTACTTTTCACGCGTTCTGCAACGAATGTTGTACGTCTGCTTTGACTTTGTTGAGTGCATCAAGGAAAATAATTTGCATGCAGCGAAACAATCATTCACGATGTGCAACGTTTTGCCATGACAGCAGTTGTTTGCAATCGTCTGCCTTCGTTTAGATCATAAACGGACTCCAAATGTGTGGTCTACGATCGATCAGCTGGTATTTTAACCACCAGAAATGAAATACTTTGTAACAGTTATGAAAAGTAAACAAAAACGACGTTGGTTCGTGGTATATATATAACAACCTTTATTGATATCGTACCCCTTCTGGGATCTAGATTAGAATACAATAAGGATATAAGGGACAATAAAATACATGAATGGAATTATTTTTGCATCATAAGTCAGTATTACTGAAAAGTATGGTTTATTTTTTTAAATGAACGCCAAATTTCGGTGATCCATATTGATCTTAATGTAGCAGGAAGGGAATTTTTTTTTCTTGATTTTTCAATAATTGATAAAACGGTTACTTTGTACCTTGATTCATCATCCCAGCTTTTCGAAAATTCGGAAAGACCAGTGCTCAAACGCTAACACTACTACCGTTTCGTTAATATTTGCATAATGTTTATAACATGTATGTGTACACTACCGGTAATACTCTGTTGTTGACGATTCTGATAGAACGGGTGACAAGCTTCCTGTCGCAAACAATGCATATTAATCTAACGTCCATTGTCAGCATTATTATCAGTCAAGACTTCGTCTGAGAAATCGTTTTGTTTTCTAAGTCTATATTCTATTTTAATAACACCCATTCTTACTAACGCAATGACGATGAAAAAAAAGAAAGCAAAGACGCCAATGACAGACGAGGCAAAGACAAATCTGCAACTCGGGGTCATATTTATTACTAATTTAGACTTGCCTGCAGCCTGTTGTGATTCCGATGAAAAATTACAGGACTTTCGCGTTCACCCCTCGTTTACGCAATTTATATTTATTTTCAAGAATTTTTCATCGGAATCGCAACAGATTGCAAGCACGTCTAGGTCATATTATGACCAACCTCGCCAGTGGTTCGAAAGGGACGATTAGGCTGGAATATTCGCATCAACGCGAAAGAGTTTCAACTACTTAACCGATGACGACACCGATACGTGATACCGTTGAGGGCCGGTGATCAGACGAGGAAGGGAGTACAGGAAATCTGTTGCTCGTCGACATCAGCCAAGTAAACATGCAGAGAGCTTGCACCTATCTAATTTTCCGTTGACACTGCCATTTTAGTTTTCTATCTTCTGCAGTAGTTTCAATCCATTCACACAGCTTTACGTTTTTTCTCTCTTAATATTCTTAATGAAACGATATTGGTTGCCTAGAAACAGTTTGACCCGCTACACGCTTTATTTGGGAATTCAAAGTGATGAAAATAGTCATAACAAATTATATTTGCTAATGACAAAAAAGAACGTAACATCGTGTGAAACATGGATGTACTAAGAAACATACTTCACGCTCTACTCGCTTTAAAGTTGCCGCCTATGCTAATGAGCGTAGTTGCGGGCGAGCCTTACAACTTCAAGATGGCGTTAATGTTACCAGCTCCCTGATGTTACACCGTAATAAGGCAGCCAACACCAACGTGCATGTGTTTTGTAACCCCTTTCACCCTCTTCGGGGGATGTTATATATGTTAATAAATCAATGTTAAATACTTGCTGATTACCGAACCGTGCGGCATGTCGTCGGTAAATACTTGTTTACCGTAGTTCGCGAGCAGTCGGCGAAATAACCATATAAAACTGAACATTTCTATAAGGCATGCTGTGTATCCTTAGATCGATCGACCATTGAGATTCGCGCTTTTCGACCGACCAACCAACCAATGGGAATCGTGCTCTTCGCAGAGTGACACTGCGATACTGTGGCAGAGTGCAATAATCGACATTTGGCGAGTCGCACAATCGCGTCGCAGAGTTAGTTTTTAAACCCCCATACATACCTCGTATATTATTACATAATAACTGGGAAAGGATGGGGATGTGCACAATAACATTCTTGTTTAAACCCTGTTATTCTGTAACAATGGGCAGAGCTGAAGTACTGATTGACTAATGATAATATTAAGTTTGAACACTACACAATGTAAATATATTGTTATTGCAAATTTGAAAAGATGAAATGTGTTTTCATTGTGGTTTCTAAAAATTGTTTTTCCCCAAAAAAGATTTACTGTGAAATAAAAGTAAACATACTGTTAATACTGATGATGATATTTTTACTATCGTAATATTAACACTGCTATAACGTGCACATGTAAGCATATGATGACTAGCATACTACCTGGAATGAATACATGTACTATGTGTTTTCATCACCTTAACTCATTATCATACAAATAATCAAACCTATTTATTTTAGAACTGCTCAGTATACATCAAGATGGTTAATATGGTACTGGAATACTACAGGGGTGGTCCCAAAAGAATTACATATCCGCATACAGAACTTAGAAGCTGCATTAACAATGTCCAGAAAATGTGAGCCAAGTTTGTATTCTCTTCATGCTTTAGGTCCAGGGCTAATTCTAGAAAAATTTCCAATCTGTAATGGAAATTACAGGTACAATACTTTCTTACCTCCAAACAAAATTACTGACTGCCTGCCATTTTGTTGACAAAAGTGCCATACTGAATATGGAATTATGAAACACATAATCATAATGCCCAATTTGTGATCAGACATATGAATGAACAAACGATAAAGATGTATATAAGTTGCAGCTATAATTTTCGGTTCTTTACCAGTAGTATATATTGTCTGTAGTGTCATAGATCCATAAAAACGTCAATGAGAGTAAAGTGTATGTCTTCATAGTTGTTGTTGACAATATGAAAAACTGTTTTTATCCAATCTTTTTAAATCTTGGTCAAGTTAGATTTTGGTGTGTTTGTAAAAGTTGCTTATAGTATGAGAAGTAACCATTGCCTATTACCATGTAATTAATTAAATAAATAAATCATGAAATACTTTGTCTATTTACAGTATTCAGAATGGCCAAAACACTTGATTTTCTACAGAAAATAGCAGATGCAATGTATATCACTGATGACATTCTGAAAATATTTCAAATCTTGGGAATGACAGGCAAGGCAGCATGGTTAGTTGCAGACCATGTGATATGGTTTACTAAGATCAAAGTCATTAAAGTAAGTAGTCATGAGGAGTCACTCTCACAAATAATCAGGCAGTACCACATGCAGCCATACATTCAGACATTACCACATGCAGCCATATAGTACCACATGTAACCATACATCCAGAAAGCACCGCACGCAGCCAGATATTTAGAAAGCAACATATGTCACCATACACCCAGAAAGCACCACACGCAGCCAGATATTTAGAAAGCAACATATGTCACCATACATCCAGAAAGCACCACACGCAGCCAGACATTTAGAAAGCAACATATGTAACCATACATCCAGAAAGCACCGCACGCAGCCAGATATTTAGAAAGCAACATATGTCACTATACACCCAGAAAGCACCACACGCAGCCAGACATTTAGAAAGCAATATGTCACCATACATCCAGAAAGCACCGCACGCAGCCAGATATTTAGAAAGCAACATATGTCACCATACATCCAGAAAGCATCGCACGCAGCCAGATATTTAGAAAGCAACATATGTCACCATACACCCAGAAAGCACCACAAGCAGCCAGACATTTAGAAAGCAACATATGTCACCATACATCCAGAAAGCACCGCATGCAGCCAGATATTTAGAAAGCAACATATGTCACCATACATCCAGAAAGCACCACACGCAGCCAGACATTTAGAAAGCAACATATGTAACCATACATCCAGAAAGCACCACACGCAGCCAGAAATTTAGAAAGCAACATATGTAACTATACATCCAGAAAGCACCACACGCAGCCAGACATTTAGAAAGCAACATATGTAACCATACATCCAGAAAGCACCACACACAGCCAGACATTTAGAAAGCAACATATGTAACCATACATCCAGAAAGCACCACACGCAGCCAGAAATTTAGAAAGCAACATATGTAACTATACATCCAGAAAGCACCACACGCAGCCAGAAATTTAGAAAGCAACATATGTAACCATACATCCAGAAAGCACCACACGCAGCCAGACATTTAGAAAGCAACATATGTCACCATACATCCAGAAAGCACAACACGCAGCCAGATATTTAGAAATTACTACATGTAACCATACATTCAGAAAGCACCATACACAGCCAGACATTTAGAAATTACTACATGTAACCATACATCCAGAAAGCACCACACGCAGCCAGACATTTAGAAATTACTACATGTAACCATACATCCAGAAAGCACCACACGCAGCCAGACATTTAGAAAACAACATGTGTCACCATACATCCAGAAAGCACCACACGCAGCCTGACATTTAGAAATTACTACATGTAACCATACATCCAGAAAGCACCACATGCAGCCATACATTTAGAAAGCAACATATGTAACCATACATCCAGAAAGCAACACACGCAGCCAGACATTTAGAAAGTACCACTTGTAACCATACATCCAGAAAGCACCACATTTAAGTCAAACAATTATCATCTGATTATCATCAAACACTATAAGTTTAATTTTCAAATGTACACCTAGTATATGCAATAAAATGTTGTCAGTATTCTACAATCAGTGGTCATGTTTTGTGTTTGTTCCTGCGATGAGTCCATCCTAAAATACCAATGAATCTTTATTAGTTCTTAAAGGCCACCGGCCCATTTCACAATATACATGGAAAAATAAATACATAACAGATACTTTTCTGAGGTCAAAAGTCACCTCATGTTAATACATTCTTGTTTCAAAATATGTAACATTGTTAGGTTTGTAATTATTTGGTCAGATTTATTTGACATAATGGAATATAATTTGTTTCAAATATACTTTTGGGTGAAATGAAGTTTTGATATTTCGATATGTCCGCAGCTTTTCTTTTGAGACAACATTCCCCACCATCCTTGCTTAAATATATCAGATGCTCTGGTCATAAATAGGTGTAAACATGCATCAAAGTCTACTGGTCCCTGCCATAGCCATACCTCTCCAAACCCATGCACAGATAATAGATATTTTACTTTTGTTTCCCAAGATTCCCTATCATTATTATCAAGTGAAATAGCCAAATCATATGCTTGTCTAGTGACTTTATTTTGAGACATTTTTAGTAGTTCAAACCAGTATTTGAGACATTTCTTATATGTTAGGGAGGAGAATTGGAAACCTGCCACATTCTCCCAAAACTACTGCATCAGGTGTTGATGATTTTACCCCCAAAAATGCTTTACAATATTTTAGTTGTACTCTTTCCATCACCTGGTATTTACTATGCCCCCATATTTCAGCATCATAGCTTAAAACTGGCAAAACCATACAATCAAATAATTTAAAATAATCTTGGTGAGGCAAGCTCCCAGTTTTCTTATCATACGAAAAATTGTGTACATTGTACAGCGTTGTTACTGCTTTGTTACTGCTTTGTCCGAAGTGTTTCTACCTGAAATAAGTAAACCCAAATATTTATAGTACTCAACAGTATTTACAGGATTGCCATTTAGAAACCATTTTTCACTCCTTTTTAAGTATTCCCCACGTCCAAAAACTGAAATACCACTGCTGATAATGAGAACCAGTAAAATACTCTCCAAGATTTGTTGCTTAATGCAGTAACAATAAATACAGTTTAATTTGTATCCTGAAATCTTATTCATTATTTCATAAAAGATAAACTGTTCTTTTCTTTGTAGGCTGATTTACTCATGTGGTCCAAAATCTCAGCATGGACCTGGTTTCTTGGAATCCTTGCTCTTGTTCTCAGAGATCTTCGTAAACTTCATAATTTAATTGAACTAGCCAAGGGATTGAAATATGGTGGTGAAAAAAGAGCTAAAGTTGCGCTGGAAAAAGAATTGGAATCTGCTAAAATTGAACTGATTAAAGATGTCTGTGATTTGATGATTCCACTTGGGTCACTGCAATATCTGAATAAGGGTTGGGGTGCCACTGGCGGAACTATCTCATCTTTGATTGGTTTACAACAAACATGGTGTCAAATAAATAAGTAATAATTACTTCAGTTTTGTCTGATATATCAGTCTCAACTGAGAATACATAAATTGGTGTGAAATTATGATGAATTCTGGTATGTAATCTGATTTTCTTGAAATTGCTTGAATAATACTTGAAAGTATTAGTTTTGCATATGAAATAAATACAGCTATCAATCAGTAATATTACAGTAATATTAACAGAATATATTGTCAAGAGTCTTTTAAACATATTAATTGTAAATTCTAGTTTTTTATACAATGATTAATTGATATTAAAATATCATGATAAGAAACAGCCACACATCTGTTTCAGTATTACTTAGTACATATTCCTGTTTGCCATTTGCAATGTCCTGGGATGGCTGTAATCATCATTAGCATCATCAAAATTAAGCTGCAAAGGACTTTTGGCAATGATTCACCTGACCTACATGGAAAATGGGCTGTGCTTGACCATCAGCAGACAGTGTTCCAACCACCTGGTCACATTACATGAAAGATGGGCTGTGCTTGACCATCTACAGACAGTGTTCCAACCACCTGGTCACATTACATGAAAGATGGGCTGTGCTCGACCATCAGCAGACAGTGTTCCAACCACCTGGTCACATTACATGAAAGATGGGCTGTGCTTGACCATCAGCAGACAGTGTTCCAGCCACCTGGTCACATTACATGAAAGATGGGCTGTGCTTAACCATCAGCACACAGTGTTCCAGCCACCTGGTCACATTACATGAAAGATGGGCTGTGCTTAACCATCAGTACACAGTGTTCCAGCCACCTGGTCACATTACATGGACAATGGGCTGTGCTTGACCATCAGCAGACAGTGTTCCAGCCACCTGGTCACATTACATGAAAGATGGGCTGTGCTTGACCATCAGCAGACAGTGTTCCAGCCACCTGGTCACATTACATGAAAGATGGGCTGTGCTTAACCATCAGCACACAGTGTTCCAGCCACCTGGTCACATTACATGAAAGATGGGCTGTGCTTAACCATCAGCACACAGTGTTCCAGCCACCTGGTCACATTACATGGACAATGGGCTGTGCTTGACCATCAGCAGACAGTGTTCCAGCCACCTGGTCACATTA